ATTTAAACATAGTTAGACTGCGAAGGTCTGCAAGACATGCTATTTTACACACACGATTCCAGAGAGGGACAATACGGTTAAAGAAAGACGACTGGAAAGCACTTGTTTTACACGACGGAACTTTAAGTACGAGAGAAGGATTTTCACAATTACAAGTACGATTATGACTAACAAACGACACAAAATTAGAAGTATTTAAATCGTAAAATCCATTTAGCAACTTAAAGAAAAATGTCAAATCCTTGATCTCTCTGTCGTATGTCAACGGGAGAAGATTTAACATCTGCAATCGATCCCTATATGTGAGCCCCCGCGTTTCGAGGATCCATCTTGTGGCGCGCCTTTGCACTCTCTCCAACAGCGTTTTGTTGTTATACTGCGACGGTGACCAGACTTCTGCAGCGTAACATAGCTGGGATTTTACCAGGGAAAGATACAATGTGTACCGAACATTGCAAACTGTTAGGAGGGGACATGTTCTTCGTAGTAGACCCAGCATTATATTGGCCTTGCTAACATTCCGCGATATATGCGTGTTCCAACAGAGGTTACTTGTCAAAGTGATCCCGAGCCGATCAACTTCACTGTCCACGCGTTTGAAACCTGCAGAACCAAGATGGTAATTGGAAATGAGCGGCCTTCTACGGCGGGAGATTGTCATTATTTTGCGCTTAGAGGTGTTGAATGTGATGTTTGAATCAACGCTCCAAACTCCAGCGCGCGACAAGGCGGTCTGCAGGCAAGCACTATCCTCGTTAGACGTTATACTGCCCTGTATAGCCTCGCGTCGTCAGCGTACAGTCCTGTTGATGTTGCTTGAGGGATTGCGTCAGGGAGATCATTAATGAACAGAAGGAAAAGCATGGGACCTAAAATGCTTCCTTGTGGGACGCCAGAGATTACTGGTGACCATTCCGAAACTACGCCTTCGACAACAACACGCTGTGTTCGCCAACATATGATCAACCGAATCGAAGGCCTTTGCGAAATCAAGGAAGATAACGTCCGTCTGGATATTATTGTCGAGTAGTTGTCCGATTCGATGAAGAGTTGTCAGAAGTTGGGTGACACACGAGCGACCATGAAGGAATCCATGCTGAGCGTCATTTATCATGACCCGAACATGATCATAGAATCGAATACAAACACATCGCCCCAAGACTTTGCTAATAATGGATGGTAGGGATATTCAGGGGCGCCGGAGCCACGGGGGCAGCGGGGGCAACTGCCCCCGTTGCCCAAACATCGCGGGGGCAGCACGGGGGCAACAGGTTGCCCTTTTGCCAGAACTGCACCTCAAAATTTGTGCATTATTCACAGAAATTGTAATTTAGAACTCAATTTTTAAGCAATGTTTAAAGATGCAGTACAGTCCGTATGTAAATAAAGGCTTTGTTTACATTTCGGTATCCAAAATATACAATTTATTCGCAAACTATGATTTTCATGATTCTGGAGTATGATAAATCATCAAGACACAACAATCAAGCATTGCCAGAACATAAAATGAAATAAAAACGTAAATAAACTGTTTGTATAATAAAAAGAGGGTTCGATCCTATGTGCACATACGCAGATCGAACTGTACAGCATCTTTAAGCAATCTTTGCTTAATTTTTAACCAGTTGTAGTAAAATTAATGCTAAGGGACCAGCCATTAATTACAGGGGAGGGGCTGGTGGAAAAAGAGCAGGGTCAGATATTTTTGTGCATGAAAAAAAGGGGGGGGGGACAAAAATTTTTATACAATATAAATTCCTGCCCCGCATGAGTCCGTACCATAAAACTTACTGATATTTATAGAGCAGTAGAACTGATGTAAACTCCAACACAACACCATTTATTAAACTGATTTCAACATAAACATGTACATTGGAACAGCCATTGACTTAGTAAATGGTAAAAAATATATAAATTAAGACACATTTATATAGAGCATAGTTGCCAACTCTCCTGGATCCACCATGAACATCACAGATTTTACTAAAACCTCATCACGGTGAGCTCATAGCTTGTTAATATCTCACAGATTTCAAAAATAATTCAACTGGTCTTAAATATGCTGGCTTTGTTGCACATTTTAACTATTAAGAGTGACTTCATTTGCATCAAATAACATAAAAAATTTTTCTTCCGAAAAAATTCACACCATGAAGCCAAAAATAAATAATCAAAACATCACTTCATGCAACCTTGTACTCTCGTGGGCATTCAACAATATGGTTTTGTATATCTAAATAAAAGCTACCAAAATGTGTCTGTCTAAAAAAGGAGTAGAAGACTCTGAAAATGCCATTTCCAACGATCTAGACACCCCATATTTAAAAGTTTTTTTTGCTTGGCCGTGTCCTCCCCACACACTCCAAAGCAAAACCTCACAGATGTTTTTGTCCCAAAGTTAGCAACTATCATAGAATAGTATGATTAAATGTAGCTTCACTTTATATGAACTTTACATTACGAATGTGCCTTTTGTTATTTGCATACGGGGGGGTGGGGGTCAAGTATAATTGTGTTATTCTTAAGGGGGGTGGGGAAACAAAATTCTGGCATCTAATTTTTCATTTCCACCAGCCCCCCTCCCCTGTAATTAATGACCGGTCCCTTAATCAAGCAATATACGTTCGTTTACTGTTGTTATTTTGCGTCTTTAGCACGGTGGGACGAATAAAATTGTTTCAAATTAATGTCGAAGTTTGCCGACCCATAATTGGCTCAAGTAATCGAGTATCCATGCAGTGAAGCTGCCCAGAAAAATGAAGTGCCCTTTTGGAATTGCTGCCCCCGCCGCTTAACATTGTTTCCGGCGCCACTGGGGATATTGGTCGGTAGTTCGTGGCAGGTTCCTTTTTCTCTTTCTTATCAACGGGTGTAACATTAGCGGATTTCCATTCAGAAGGAACAGTTCCAGTGCGAAGGAAGTGGTTGAAAAGTGAGCAAAGACTTGGAGCGATAATAGCGCTGCATTCTTTCAGAATCCGGCCGGGAATACCATCAGGACCAGTAGCTTTAGATGGATCCAGGTGGTATAGGTGTTTAGCAACTTCTTCTTCTGTGACGGTAATGTCGGACAGTTGGGAAGAGGAAATAAAAAAGGAGGTGGAATCGTCAGGGTTCATGGTGGTCTTAGCAGGACGGAAGACGGAACAGAAATAGGTGTTAAATAGTTCCGCTTTTTCTTTTGGTGACTTTGCTGTGCGATTGTTTCAGGTTATAGTTGGATTGAGAGAAGTTTGGTGGTGAAGAATGGCTTTATGGTAACTCCAGACCATCTTCGGGTTTTCATTGAGTGACGCTTCAATTTTCGCGAGATACAATTTATGTTTAGCTCTAATTGCGTATTTGATTTGCTACTATTTGCTGACACAAAATACTCAATACTCGCTGTTTTGTTCTTTCGGTATTTCCTCAACGCAATGTATTTCTTACGTATAAGGTAGCGAACTTCACCATCTATCCAGGGAGGGAAGTTGGTGCCCTGTATAGTTTTTATAGGAACAAAACTGGTCACGATAGACAAAAATGTGTCTTTCCACCAGCAATCATCGATACTGCCCGTTAGAGTAATGTCTAAGGATGTTTCTGACAAGGCTCTACGTAGTGTAGGGAAGTCAGCGTGGTTGTAGTCGTAAATAACGCGTCGCACAGGTTTTGCTCTTGTGAACTTGGTACTAATATTGAATTCAATGATGTAGTGATCGGTAGAGAAGTTATGTTCATCGGAGGGAGATGTTAGTACATTTGATATTACCTCGGCACGATTGCAAAAGAACAAGTCAAGCTTGTTACCCGCGGAGTGAGTTGGACCCTCTACGAATTGTTGCAAAAAATTGTCACCGATAAGTTCACAAAGGACTTCGCTGTTCGCACAACCACCTGAACTAATGGGAGTTGAATCATTGTCCGACCAGGAGATCGAAGGAATATTGAAATCACCAACTATCACAATACACCTTGATTCTGGGTTAAGACCATCGGGAGAGGAACTAGGAGGACGATAGTACACATAAAGTGAATCACAGGTTTAATGTTCGCTTTGTTGAGTTGAACAACTCAACACCATCTCTTTCGGGGTCACTGCGCCGAGTAACTTGCAAGCCTTCTTTTACAGCGATAAACACACACTGTAAAAACTGATAGGTTAAAATAACCAAAAAAAATAGGTTATTTGGTTTGGTCTAGGACAACCCGATAAAAATAGGTTATTTCAATAGGTTAAAAGAACCAGAATTAAATAGGTTAAAACAAACCATTAAAAATGGGTTGGTTTATACCCATAAGAAATAGGTTGTTTTAATAGGTTAAAACAACTAAAATTAAATAGGTTAAAACAAACCATCGAAAATGGTTACTTTAACCTATAAATCTGTAATATGTCATTTTAACGTATTAATTATTGGTTGATTGAACTAAAGATTTATGGTTATTTTGACCAATTAAAAAAGGTAATTCCAACCTATATTCAAAAGTTAAAATGACTAAAATTTAAACTGTCAAATTGAGCATATTTCAACCAAATAAATATAGGTTGTTTTAACTATAATACAAATGGTACGGATATTCACCAATAATATTTTGGTTGATTTGGCCAATATTTTTAGTTATAACAACCAGTAAATAACGGTCAAAGTCGGAGTACGAAACATCGCGCACTTTCGTTGGTTAAATGATGTTGCGTCAACTGAATAAGATACGCTAAAACGAAATAGCTAAACAATAATTCTGCAGTCAATTGATCATCCAAGTACGCTATAATCAAACAATATTATGAACTGTATATAAAAATATATTTTGTAACATCTAAAATTACAGTAAGTACACAGTAGTACGTTTTGTGTTACTATAGCCTGTGTTCCAGTTGACTACACTGTTACTGACACACAGGCTAGAGAGTTGCATGGTTTTGTCATGTATTATATATTATCATGAAATCATGGCTAGGCACTTAAGTGCTTAGCATTAATTAGATCGCGATCACCATGCAACCCCGGCCTGTTTGTGCATTCTCAATCTCTCATTATTATAATATGTTACAACAATCGATCGCCATATAATCTTAGTTCTAGCTTGTGTTCTATAGTTCACCGATTGGCAGAGTTTGACCAATCCTTCCCAGCCGAATATGCTCGAGGAACATTGCCAAGGCCATTGAGGTATTCAGCATTAAGAACAAAATACCGTAAACCTCCGACTGTAAGCCCTGGGCTTATATTTTTCCGTAAGCGATTTTTGATGGGCTTATACAAGGAGGGGCTTATATACGGGGGGGGGGGCTTATACACGGACGATCTTTTGTGTTAGTGTAATAGTGACAAACAAGTATAGTAATAGTGATAAACAAGTGTTAAGCATACTAGCATGCATAGTAATAATAGTGATTAATAGTGGTAAGTGGTAATAGTGATAAACAATAAATGGTGATAACTGATAAACAAGTGGGCTTATATTCGGGGGGGGGGGCTTATATTTGGAATGAGGTGAGCGTTACTACATGTAGTGGGCTTATACACGGGGGGGGCTTATATTCGGGAGGGGCTTATATTCGGGAGGGGCTTATATTCGGAGGTTTACGGTACGCTGCTAATAAGCATGTAATAGTGCTGATTATAGTACTTCCTCTTAATATGGCAACTATACCATATACCCTCTGCAATGAGGGTAAGTGAACTTATCTCTTGTAGAGATCCGGTTGCCAATAGCGGTGTTGAACACGCCTTTATTCTCTCAGTATGCTGGATTTCAAAATCACTCTGCAAACAAAAAATGAGAATATATTCTATATGCATGCAACATTAAGGATCTTACAAGGAAACTTAACATCACTACCAAATATATCCAGGTAGCCTATGTATGTGCATGCATGTTGCAACTGTACTGCACAACAACCAGCGCGCCCTACTTGTTTTTTTTAAAGGGGAAGTCAAGTCCGTTCTGCGCATCGGTTCTGCTCATAACAATGCGAGGACCTCTAATGTGAACATTGCCCAAATTTCGAATTTTTCTGAACATAAACTCTATTTCATACTCATTTAGAAGTATAGCGAACCAAAATGGTGTTAGATATTCAGACAGTACATCATATTTTAAAAAATACAGCAGTTCAAAATGTAAACAAACCGTTTGTTTACATTACGGACTTGACTTCCCCTTTAACTTGTCTAATGCCAGACGATTTTACTCGTCAATATGGAAGCTCTGCAGCTTAATGGGTTTTTAACCAAAAAATCTGACAATGTCTATAGTTAACCCATTAAGCCACAATGCACTCCAGCATGCCCTACATTTTTTTTCTACTTGTCTAATGCCAGACGATTTTGCTTGTCAATAGAGACGCTCTGCAGCTTAAAGGGTTAATAAGTTCTGACATCACTAATCAGCTAAATGGCATAAAATATACAAAATTGACTTACATTCACAACTTCGAAAAATAGCTCCCCTGGAATTTGTTTGCTTGCTGCCTTTTCAAAGGCAAATGCTGCAAGAATACTGCGGTTTTCCAACTCTACAAAAATCAAAAGGAGATAAATATTTACACATGCATACATACACACTGCAAAAATGTATTCTCCAAACCTAAATAAAAAGCTTCATGCTGTTCTGCTTAAAATTTTACTGTGAACATTTACAATTCATATATACATGAACTCTAATTAGCTTGATGGACTCTTGGTCTTGGGGCTTGGACTCTCAGGGCTTGAGTGTCTCTCGGCTGTTAAAGAGCTGTTCAGAATCACAGGGCAGAAGGTTCCATTCCCGGCACAGTATGTATATGTTACATATTTATTGTTCAAAATTTCCATTTAATTAAAGAAAGGCTTTAACCCATTGAATGGCAGCCTCTCTCCTTCATGAGTAAAATTGTCACATAAAGGGTTAACATTCTGTTCAATGTAGAATATTTACAAGATGTAAAATATGCATGTAGTGTGACTGTTCAATCAAGCATGTCATGCAAGTCCATCAGTTAAATTTTACATGCAATCTTCTAATAAAATGACATTTCCCAATCAATTTCAACATTAAAAGATATCAGACTGTGATTGTTTTTGTCAGTTACATTTCGAAACTGTTTGCAAAAGTATGATCATGTTGATTTACTTTATTTGAAAATGTGCTGCTATTACACAACTCAGTCTGGGTGATTTGTTTTGGCGAGCGTAGCCCATGAGCCCATCTAGAGAGGCTCATAAGACATGTAAATAGACATTCGTCCAGGGAAAGCAAGCTATAGCCAAGTTACCTGGGCTGGCTCGCCTCTATATAAGCAGCCCCTTTCACATGTTTTAGGCTGACCGATAGGAGGGTTATCATAGGCATAGCAAGCACATGCCATGCATTGGGTAATATTGGGAGATGTCGAGATGGGCTATTGCAATGCTGTCTATATGCCATTAATGTGACTGCATTTCAAACAAGTCACATACCATATAAAAGTACTGTATACATGTCAACGTTATAGCAAATGATATTTTCTGTGCTGATGCAATGTACTCAGGTGAATATGATGCTTGTGATGTTACACTGAGTGTATATCCACCCCAAGCAAGCTTGAAAAATATGCCTGTCCATGGTGGGAATCAAACCTATGACCTTTGGAATACTAGCCCAATGCTCTGCCAACTGAGCTATGCGGTCAGGTTGGTTCGAGCAAATTAGTCCTTAACTGTGGTTCGAGTATGTGATATTTCAGAACAGAATCTAGTTCTAAATCTGTCCACAGGTTTGATTCCCACCGTGGACAGGCGTATTTTTCAAGCTTGACCGGTGTGGATATACACTCATCATGATATTTTCTGTGTTGATGCAATGTACTCAGGTGAATATATGCTTGTGATGTTACTCTGAGTCTCAGAGTAACATCACAAGCATATATTCACCTGAGTACATTGCATCAACACAGAAAATATCATGACTACTAAATTACATTGGTATCAAAGGAACTAGATTCTGTTCCGAAATATCACATACTCGAACCGACCTGACCACGTAGCTCAGTTGGCAGAGCATTGGGCTAGTATTCCAAAGCTCGTAGGTTCGATTCCCACCATGGACAGGCATATTTTTCAAGCTTGCCCGGTGTGGATATACATACACTAGCCCTAAGTAACATCACAAGCATCTTCTTTATAGCATATATTTAACAGAAAATTACAACATAGAAATGCATATCACACAAATAAGCTATACGATTTTCTTAACAACACATATACGTGGAGACTGTAGATTAGACTTATAGACTTCTGCTAATAGAAATTAATCGAAAATTTACAACTGAACGTCCAGATGCCTTCAGTGAATCGGCGGCGAAGCGACTAATATAAAATACAGGCCTTCGATTTTAATAAAAATATAACTACAGTAAGTCAAGTAACTATCCGCATACAAATGAGTAAATACACAATAGACATACCTTTCAAATTCCATGTATTTTCTAGGTCTTTCGAACTTTATAATAGAAAATTTGAATAAAAATCTTCTCCTTTGAATGCTTGCTCTCAAAAGATCGAACTTGGCGCTTGTTGTCAATGTGTCATACAGATCGAATTACTACAACACGTGATATATTCTAAGCATGTTAATTGGTTGAAAGTTTGGAATTTCCACTTGTTGAAAATTATATTCAGCAAGCAAAACATTCCACAAGTTCAAATTACAGAATCTCTGACAAACGCGGGTAATTATAATAGAGATTTACGCAGCAAAAAATATAGATGAGAGCAATGCTGGTGTTAAATTAATTTGACAAGAAAAACTCGCTGACAATTTCTGGCTACATTCGATCGTCGCGTGCGATCGAACAATAAGAAGCCGATATGGTCCGATATACTTGTAATACAACTACAAGAATCTGACTTGGCAATATTCGAGAAAAACGGCGGTCAACCAGCTGAATTAAATCTTGGGTTGATTTTACACGAACTGCAGTCCTTCACTACGAATTTGCATAGAAAATATCGCCCTAATTCTAGGTTGAAGAAACTCAGTT